CCAGTCAAGTCATGTGTCATGTATAGTGCTTGGAAACCCTAAGGACAATTATGACATGGCGAGCGAGTATTTCGTACTTCAATTTTATGGCTTTCCGTCACTCACAAGTTAGTTTGATGTTACGTACATTATTAACATTACAGAATCCACATATTCCTGCCAGTTTTAATATGTATTTTGTAATCAACAAGTGTGTAACACCAGTCAAAGTTTGACACTTCTCTGGCCATCATCTCTGTAACCGTTCAACTTTGGACATAGGTGTTCTGGGTTATATCGGCATACTTTAACATAAGGAACACCCTCCCGAAGTTTGGTCCATTCCTCCTGGGACACCCTGTATAGCTCCTGTACTGTGAAACGTGTAACTACTGACAATAGAGTGAATTGAATATTGTGAATAGGGTTATAAAGTGTGAAACCCCTCAACTGTGTTATAAATAATTGTAGCCAAGATTTGTAGGTTGTTAAATAAACCAATTAACAATCCGAACGGCGTCTTCAGTAACACGTTACACTGGTGTCAGAATTGTTTATGAACTTGAACACGCCTTTATTTAGAAATATATATATTTTGTACTTTTGCCTTTATTCTCAAAAAGTTCACCACTGTCACCAGTGGCATGCATTTCAGTTCCCAGTATGTGATCACAAATATTGATGTTACAGTATCTTACCACAATAAGAAATCCTAACATACACATACAGATGCAGATCTGATGTACAGAGTAAGTCTTAATTATATAACTTAAATGTAAGCACTGCATCTTACACTTACATGCAAGCGGAAACAGTCTCATAAATATATGGCTTCAACAACTTTGTTAGCAAAATATGGCAACAGGAAGCATGAAAAAATAGAGGATGAAGAAGTGGTTTATGGCAATTTTAATTTTTCTGTTTGTAGAAAAAAGTGCAATTACATGTCTAAGGGCAATGTTATGACAGCTGAGTGTTCCATGTGCTCATCAACAGCTTATACATTAGACTGCAGTTTCTGAAAGTTTGAGAAACAATGTCCTAGACTATACTCTTTTGTCTAATTTCATTCTGAGATAATTTCACACTTACTTTGAGTAATGAATGACTTTAGTATAAAAAGTATTAATGCCAACCACTGTGACTGATAAATGTTTTTTTTAATCTTCCATCCTTTACAGCGTGGCCCTAACAACTGGATGACATTAAGAGTCCTATTCTTCAAACAATGGAACCATGACATGGTAGACACTCATCTTCCTTTAAAGAGAAGCAGTATAGGCTAATTATAATAATGTGACGCATCACCTTACGTCCATCACTGCACAACGGCTACAATGGAAATTGCTGAGTTCCCACAGTGACAAATCATAACAACAGATTGTCTGTTGAGCAACAAGGAAACCTAAACACAATATAGCATCTCCATGATAACAGAAGGCTCATTGCATAACAGTGAAATGTTGAGGACGATGTCCCCTAAGCAGTTCAATAAACCCCTACATAATGAAGTCCAGCATTCGCCGAGAGACTGGAGATCCAGCCATGGTCAGAGGCAGACAGAACTACAGAGCTAGTTAGACAAGAGAGAAGAACGCATAACACAAGTGGCAATAATTGTAAAGTGTATAAGTGTAAAAGCGAAGTACAATAAATAGTTGCTACATCCAAGACAGCGTGAACTTATTTGTCGCGTGACATATCAAACACGTGACAATATTTTAATAAATTCACGCACATCACTGTAATTGTTGAAGGCTAATATTTTATATCTATAACACTGTAATAATAGTGTCTGTATGTACTGATAATGACCAAAGACATTGTAATAGTATGTATGTATTGATACGTCCTTCTGAAGACGGTCACTCCAACCGAAACATGTAAAGTAGTGTGACATGTTGAGCTATGGATGACGCCCC